GGCGACGGCGGCGGCGGCGGCGGNGGCCCCCGGGGGAGGGCGTGGAGGCGACGTCCCTCACTGCCGCCGGTCCCCACCCAGGGCCAGGCTCTGGACGAATACGTTTCCGAGAGGAGTCCTCGCACGGCGTGCAGGGCTCTGACGGGTTGCGTGCGCGCGCGCCATCCATCGCAACCAATCAGCTTCGAGGCTTTACGCTCCCAGCGAAGGGCGCATTAGAAATGCTTCCGGGCTGAGGGGAGGTCGCTGGAGCCGGTCGTCAGCTCTCAAGCCTTGTCCTTCTCCCCCATGTCGACCCTGACGCTGGCGGGGCCTGTCAGGAGGTACAGGTGGGTAAACGAAAAGATCAGTTGAGGGGTCGGGCCCCGCTGGTGATAGTCGAATGTGAGGTACGCGGGCCTCCCGGGGCCCTCGCGGACAACGCCTTCCACCCCCAGAAAGAAGAAGGGTCACCCACTTCGCGTGAGCTTCACGAGATTAAGCTCACGTAATTGGACGCGATGGGAATTGAGCCCCAGGGGAGCATAGTCTTAAAAACTCGGGACGAGGGGGGAAGCGGCGACGGCGATTGAAGCATGTTCAGGGAGCGCTGTCCCTTCCCCCTGTGAACACCGTGGCGTCCATGCAAGGCATTGTCTCCCGGTGCAAATGGTACATGGCTGATAAACTGCACTCCAGTGTCCATGAGGAAAATGCCCTTCTAAAGTAGACCCTGTGTGGTGATTAATTGAACTTCCAAGACGGGGAGGAACACTGCTTTGACCTCCCCACCTCTGCCAAGCCCAGCGACTTTTTCACAACAATCGTACTTAAGTGCCTATTTACGATGCAAATGTGACAAAGTTCGCATCGCACGTCTTATCAATCGGCTAAAAGGTGCTTTATATGCTCTTGCAGGAATTAAAACGTCACGATTGGACTCCTTTTCCACCAGTACGCTCCGAGCGTTGAAGGGGATACACTGCGTTGCGCTGCATTAGAAGAGCTCCTGCAGCCAGGGTCAGGATATAACATATGGACTTGTTCATCGAGCTAGGTTTGTTAGTCGGCTTGGCGTCGTTGCTTCTCGTCGTGTCCTCGATCAATGCCACCTTGGTCACGCTCTCCCTCCTCCTTGGGTGCCTGTTGCTACTTGCTGGTGTGCTTGGTAAGTAAGAAGGATGCGAGATACCACCCACTCAACGCCATACGGTGACAACCACATCAACCTGTGATCCTCCTTTCCCTCACCCCTAACTATGCCCCAGAGCCCTTCGAGATTCCGTGGTACGTGTGGGCTGCCCTTTGCCTCTACCTCGCCGTCCGTCACCAAGGTAGCGGATACACTAAAGGGAGCCTCTGCAAAGCGGCGGCCGATGGAAACATAGCACTGGTTCGGAAGCTACTGGCGGTAAATCACGGCCAGTACGCGCTGGAGCTGGACCGTAAGGTGAGTGATCCCCGGGCAGATGAAAGAAATTGCCTCCTGATAACCCCCATGAACTCTTGTTCCCTCCCCCTCGCCCGCCTGCCCCTCCCTTCCCTAGGGCTATTCCCCTCTCATGCACGCGGCCCGTCGAGGTGATTTGCCCATGGTGCGGCTCCTACTTGCCACCAACTTGTACGACGCGCACAATGTCTCCATCAAATCTCGCAGCGGGAAGTCTGCGCTCTTCCTGGCAGCACAAGCCAAGCAGGAAGCGATGGTCCGACTCCTGCTGGAGCATGGTGCTGATCCCGCTGGCTTGGCCCGGGACAGCTGGGCACAACGCTTTCTTCCCTTCTTGACCGCCCCTCCCGCCTCTCAACGCCCGATCCCCGCGGGCCCACAGCCTCGACGCCGGGCGCGTCGTCCGCCCCCACCTGACTACCCGGGGCCTCAGCCTTCCTCCTGGCAAGCATCCTCCTGCTCCCCCCCAAAAGCCATCCCCGTCGCTGTTGCTCTCCCTCCGTCGGCGCCTCCGGCCTCAACCTTCGCCCATGCCTCCGTCTCCCCGGGCATTGTGAGGGAGGGAGGGGGGGAGACGCTCTTGCCCGCCGGGTGGGAGGAGAGGATAACCGCGGAGGGGCACGTGTTCTATGTCGACCACGGAGGCCGACGGACAAGCTGGGAGAGACCCGTGTCGGGCGTGGACATGTGAGGGGCGGGTGAGGGACAGGGAGGGCTCGATGGGCAAGAGAGGGAAAGGGGGTAGCGGGGCTGGGGGAGAGGCCTGAGTGCGAGAGAAAGGGAGGACGTGTGTGAAGTAGAAATGGGTGAAGAGAGGAAGGGCGAGTGTGGAAAAGAGCGGGGAGGGAGGGAGGGGAGGGAGAGAGGGAGGGAGGGAGGAAGGCAGGGAAGGAGAGGGGCCGGCCGGAGTGTAGGTGAGGGGCTGCCACGGCGAAGGGGATAGAGGGCGATTCTCGTGGGGCCAAAAATGGCGGGAAATCCTTTGGCGAAAGAGACGAATCGTAAGGACAGGTGTGCAGTAAAGCTAGGTTGTGTACAGAATGTAATGGGGAGATAGGGAGGTAGACCGGAAGGCGTTGATGTCGCCCAGACCCGAGTCAAAGCACATCTTACAACGAAAATGATGGCGAGGCCGCTCCTTCATTGATCTCTAAGAGGGCCTGACTGCCCCTCTTGCTGTCAGTGTGCCTTTCTGCCACAAAGGCTTTTTACTCGTCCCCCATTTCCTCCCCCTCCCCCTCCTCCAGACGCCCACTCTCCCTCCTTCTTCTTCCCCCCTTTCCATCCCACCGGCCCCTCTCTCCCCTCCTTCCCCCCCAAAAGGGCCTGACCACGGCCCATACGAAGGAGCTCCCCCCCCAGAGGAAGACCAAGCCGCCGGCGCCGGCGAGCACGAGTTTGAGCACCACCCCCATCTCCGAGAGGGCCGCCGTCCACGTCCGCAGGCCGCCGACAAGGCTCTGGAGGAGGGACATCTCTTTTTCGCGAAATTTGAGGGCCAGGTCCACCCGCAGGCTCTCCTCCTCCAAGCTTCGGCCGCCTGCGCGGGAGGACCAGGGGGTCATGGGCCACGGGCCGCGGGAACGTGGGAGGAGGGACGGGGGAGGACGGGGGCGCCTGTGAAGGGAGGAAGAGGGCGTGGTGAGCCCATGTTCGTGGAGTTATGGGACAAAGAGGAGGCAAATCGAAGCCTTTCCTCGTCGGTGAGGGACCACGTGTCATTCACTTCTCCTCTTCGCCCCTCGAACTTCTGAGGGGCGAGCAAAAAACCCAAGGAGAGCAACGAGGAAGTCGAGGGAGGGCAATGAAAAACAGTCGGCGCCCATACAGCCAGCGACGTCGTTGCCTCCGCCGAATAGAGGCGAGGGCGCAACGTCGTTGATGCGCGCCGCCGTGGCCGGAGGCCAACAAAAAGTCATGGTTCTTTGCATTTTGAGAATGTTCCGACGCGGAGAGAAAAGGGGGGGGGGTAGTCGCCGAGGGCTGTGGGACATCTCCTCTGGGGAACGAGGGGGCATCCCATGCCACCTACGCCGGCCTACCTTCCCTTCGTGTGCTGGCAGGGTACACGGAGAGACCGGGTACCCTGCGAGTCCCATTGCTCTCCCCCTTCCCTCCCCCCCTACTCTCCAGCATACATGGTTCGCCTTCCTCACCCCCCTTCCGCCCTCGTATGCACCCTGTCTCAGTCGTCCGCAAAGACGATCTTGGTGGCTTTCTTCTCCTCCATACCCTCCCTCGGCCCGAAGGCCCCGTACAGCTTGTGCTCTTTCTTCTTCACCGCGGTCCCGAACTTCAAAAGGGCAGGTGGCACCTCCTGCCCCGCCTGCCGCAAGGTGTTGACCAGAGCCCCCGCATTGCCCTTGTCCCCCTGGTGGAAAAAAGTGTGGGCGATGCCTTTCTTCCCCGCGCGGCCCGTCCGGCCGATCCTGGCGCAGAAGACAGGGAAAGGGACATGGAAAGGTCGTCAACAGGATTACATGCTTCCTGCCTTCCCTTCTCTCTCCCTCCCTCCCTCCCTCCCTCCCTCCCGCCCTCCCTTTACCTGTGCACGTAGTCTTCGATGGTCAAAGGGAAGGAGTAGTTTATCACCACCTCCACGTCGGGGATGTCCAGGCCCCGGGCAGCGACGTCCGTGGCCACCAGCAGGGGGACCTCCTTCGTCTTGAATTTCGTCGATGGCGGCGATGCGGTCGCTCTGGCTCTTGTCTCCATGAATGCCTAAGCACTTGTACCCCTGCCGCTGCAAATTCAGCTCCAATCGGGACGCTTCCTGACAACAGGACGGGAGGAAGGGAGGGAGGAAGGAAGGGAGGAAGGAAGGAAGGATGGGAGGGATGGAGGGAGGGAAGGTCAAAGGGCGGGTCCCAGGTGCCAGGTCCTGACCTCCGTCCTTCCCACTCACTTTCTTGTAGAGCGCGAAGACCAAAACCCGGTTGTCGCGCCGACCGTGGTACTGCGTCAGAAGCCCCCGCAGCCGGCCCTCCCGCTCGAACTCTCCCACCACCTCCACCACCTGCTGCACCCGCTTGTTACTGCTCAAATCCTCCCCTCCGATCGTCACCTTAACCGGATTTTCCAGGAACTCTCCCGCCAAGGCCTGGATGGCCACGGGCCAGGTGGCGGAGAACAACGCCGTCTGCCGCCGGCCACGGGGCACACAGTGGCTCACGATCCCGCGGATGGCCTGCTCGAAGCCCTGGTCGAGCATGCGGTCCGCCTCGTCCAAGACCAAGTAGGATACCCGGGAGAGGTCGCACTCCCCCTCCTCCATCAAGTCCGCCAGCCGCCCCGGCGTCGCCACCAGAATGTCCACTCCCCCCCTTAAGGCCTGGCGCTGCTCCTGTTTGGGCACCCCGCCAAAGAGACAGATGCTGCGCAGACCCGAGCCCTCCACCACGCCGTCGATCACTTCCGCGCTCTGCATCGCCAACTCCCGGGTGGGGGCAACCACCAACATGCGCGGGACATGCCCCGCGCGCCCACCGTCCGGGGCCCCTGCCTTGCGGATGCGCTCCAAGCCGGGGAGGATGAAAGTGAGCGTCTTCCCGGAGCCGGTCTCGGCGATGCCGATAATGTCTCTGCCGCCCATCAGGACGGGCCAGCACTGAGCCTGGATGGGGGTAGGGCGGGCGAAGCCCTCGGTGCACTTCAGCAAGTCGGGGGGGAAACCCACCCCCGCGAAGGAGAGGGTGGGGAGGAAGGCGTCGCACCCCGGGCCCGAGACCAAGATCTCGTTCTCCTCCCACCAGGCCTGGGCCTCGCTCTTGCTCAAGGGGTGGGGGGCGTCGGCGGTGCACGGGGTGGAAGGGAGTGGGGTGGCATGGGACGTGGCGGCGGCAATTTTCTCTTGCTTTTTCTTCTCTTTCTTGGCACGCTTCCTCTCCTCTTTGCTCAGGCGCGAAATTGAGGATTGCTCATCCTGCTTCTCGTTCGTCGTGCCGTTCAGGAGCTTGTCGGCGGGCTCCTTGACCTCTGTCTCCGCGGTCTCGGCCTCAGATATTTTGAGCAGTTCGGCCGCCCGTTTCGATTCCTTCTTCGCCTTCTTGCGCAGCTTTCGCTCCCTAGCTTCTTTTTCTTCTTCTTTCATCGATAACTCATCTTTTCCCATTATTGGATCAGAGACTTCCGAGGGTCTCGCGGATGGGCAAGAGGAAGCGGCATCCTGCTTCTTCTTCTTCTTGCACTTCTTCTTACTGGCCTTCGGATCGGACCGGTCGAGGGCCTCCGTCGTTTGCTCCTTTCGTGGAGATAAATGAATGGATGGAAAAGAAGGGCAAAATATTGGAACACTCTCGCAAATGTCATGATAGAGCATTAGAGGGGGCTCGCCAAGGCACATGAGATAGTGTTTAAGATAGAAACACCATAAAATTATCAGTTCTTGTTAATAAAATTGTCAAGGCACTATCACCTCGGCAAAACAGGTGACACATGTTAACGACTTTAAGAACTTGCATCAAGCGCATCAGACGGAAAAAAATGCCAGTAGTAGAGGCATCCGGCCGACAGTGGAACGTGACGGAAAGATACTCTCCACGTGTTGACCTTGCCTACCTTCGCGAGCTTGCGCTTTTTGCGCTTGTCCTCACTGCCACCCATGGCAGCTGCAGATTCTTGACGCTACTTTAACCTACAGGCTGGGAAGGCCGGATTATACAAGTGAGCAGGAGTGATTTAAGTGCTGGTAGTCTCGGTGGCCCACAGGTCTCGCCAACGATGGACGCCATCGCCGGCGGTGTTCGTCTCAAAAAAAAGACATAAAGCATGACATATCCCTCGAAAAGAGTGATAGCTTGATGCACGTACAAAGAAAATGATAGCGCGGCATACTTGGAGGATAAAAATGCAGTATTGATTTTCCGTGGCATGTGCTCGCATGTCGCCCCGGGAAAGAGTAGTCGTCGCACGCCCGAGTTCATGCTCTTCCGACTGAAAGTCATCCAAAGCCTACACAAAGACGTCGTGCTTATTACGCGGGGAAGAGCTGCTCGTCTCTCTCATATCCTACTTTCCTCAAAACGCCCACTTGCAGGATTATACAGTTGATAGATAGCCGCCGAGGGGAACCAGCCTCTCCTTTTTCGGCATCATCGGCGGCAGAGGGATGCTTCGACGCCCGCCAACACGCATTGAACTCAAACCAGAAGACGTGGAAGAGCTCGAAGGTGAGATATAAATGAGAATATTAAGTGAAAGTCAACCGGTGAAGCAATTTCGGCCATTACTATGGCAATGGTTGTAAGATGTTTCCTCCCGTTCCTCCGAGGCAGGACTACTCCTGATATTTGAATGCATTCCCGTACCGCGGACCCATCCGTGCAGGTTTTTGCTATCACGCCATAAAATTATTTGTTCAAAGCTTCTGACGCTTTTATAAAATTAATCATGTATCAATGTTGCCGATACCTTGACAGCCATTCAAGAACGGCGACGGGTAGAGCGACAGCACCAGCTCCTCCATAAGGCGGGGACTGCAGGTGCTTCGGCCCCTTTAAGTAATATGGCCGACAATAATGGCGGGGAGCCTCCTGGAGTACGAGACGTAAAAACGGAGCGTCCTCGCACGCCCACAGTTGCCGAGCGCATAGGTCTGCGTAAATGAGAAGGAAACCGCGATCGGATGGCTCGCATCCTCGTGTACAAACAAAATAACACAAATGAAAGGCGACTTGATCCAACTTCCCTTCCATAGACGCTGTGTCGTCGTGATTGCTTTCGTTTTAAGGTTTCCTTCCCGGCATGCAGACCATCTGCTCGAGGACCACGGCACACATTAAGTTCGAAAAAGCTTTCAAAGGCCTTTGCATACCCTCTCCGATCGTCGCCCCTTCCCCTCTCCTTCTCCGCTTCCCCTCCTTACTACTCCTTCCCTTTAGTGGGACCAATACGGCTTAGCACATCGTGGCTCCGAATGAAGGAGAATTTCCGCCCCTCCCAATTTTCGTCGCGGGGGCCAATGCCCCAAGGTTGTTTGACGTAGGCTACATCGCCCGGTCCCAGATTCTCGATGGTGGTCAACATCCCGCTCTCTCCCACGAGGCCTGAGCCTATGGAGACGATGCGGACCATGTGCAGGGGATCCTGGTCCGTGGACGGAAGGAACAGGCCTCCTTGTGTTTCTGTGGGCGCTTCCAGACGTTCGACAAGCAAGTATTGCCATTCAGCTTTCATGCTCCTTGCCTGCCAGGGAAACAGAGGGCAAGATGAGAGCCATGAAAAGGGGAAAAGCTGGGAGAGTGATGTGCTAGGGTGTGTCTACGTGGCCTTTTGAGCATCTTCTCGCCAACTACCATACCTGCTCAGGAAGAGTGTTGATATACTCGTCATGAGGAAGGCTCACAAGTGTAGAAGAGTCCTGTACAGCCATTCTGACAACATCAGGGCCCCCTGCAAGGTATTTGTGGTGCTGCAGTGGCATGTGTGGTAGCAGAGGAATGAAAGCCTTCGCGGGCCCCAAGGACAGGATAAGGACGACCACTACCAGAAGGTATTGCATGCATGATGGCAAAAGGTGTAGAAACGATCGTAGCTTTGTAGCTGGTTGTACCATGCTGCCTGTGTGTGTGACGGGATGGGGCGTACATTCTACTTAAGTATCCTCCCACCTTTCTGGAAGCACCGCGCTGAAGGCACACAAACCTCCGGTCCGGACACATGGAAAACACCTCCTAAAAAGTGTCGCAGTCCTGACATCCTCTCACCGGGCGACGCAGAGACGGGTCACGGTTCTATGCCCTGAATGCGCTTTTTCGATCCGCCTTAATATCATGCAACGGAGTGCTGGGGGGTCAGCCTGACAGGTGTCGAGCTTGGTTGACTTTCCTGCGAGACAACAGCAACTTAAAGCTAGATGCATCTGCGGCCTTTCTGATGTATTCTTTCTTTTCCACGCACATGCCCACCCACACAGCAAGCTATGCCATGGTGGAGGGCAAGTACTGCTTTGCTTTTGCTCCCCATGGCCAGTGTATTGGCATTTATCCCCTCTGCGCCTCCGCTCGAGTCGTCATGGCGCCGCGCTAGCCTCCCCCTGAAACATTCCTGCCGTCGTTTCTCACTCCCTTCCCTCTTCCCCCGTGCCCTCCCGACCTCTTCTTCGTCTCCATCTTCTTTCGCTTCTTCCTCCTTCTTCTCTTCTTCCTTCACCTCTTCCTCCGACTCCCACGTGACCCCAAACCCACCAATACCGTCATCACCTCCAGGGGGGGAGGGAAACTTTTTCTCCTTACGGCGGCTACGTGCAGCACTCGCAGCATTGCGAGAAACAGGATCCGCGGGTCTATTGGCTTACGGCATTGTCAACGCTTTATATTATACGGTGGCCATTACGATCATTTGGTTGTGTGTGGATGGGGACGTGGAGCCGCTACTCTCGCCGAGCGCCCTGGGAGCCACGGCAGCAGCCGCAGGGACAGGCAAAGCGGCCATCTCTGCCGCGACGAGTGCGCCGAGTCTCCGCCTTCTCAGCACCCGATTTCTGAAAGTGGTGGCCATGGCGTGGGCCGGCTCGCAGGTGACCAAGCCGCTTCGAGTGGGCGGGGCCATCCTCCTGGCGCCGGCCGTATCGCGTCTGATGGGATACACAGAGCGGAAACTGCAGCTTCGAAGCAAAAGGCAGACGCTGGCCGTGCTTCTGGCGGCATTGATGGCCTTCCCAACGCTGGTGTTTGCCGGTTTGCTGATAAAGGCGGGGGCGTGGGAGGCCGCCGCTCCGATGGTGGGCGGATGGGGGGAGGGGCTGAAAGAGGCGTGGGGCAGAGGGAGTCCTGCGGTGGGTTCAAGGGGGAACGGAGGCGGGCAAGGGCCAGGAGGAAGGGTTTCTGCCTTTGCAAGCTGCCGGTTGGGCGGGGGGGAAGGCGGGAGGCTGTGGAAAAGACTGCGGGTTAGGAGGGTAGGGTCGCGCCTCCTGATCAACAAGTCGGGGTCCTCTGCGCCTCTCTTTGCCTCGTTGCTCCTCCCCGCTCACTCGACTTTGGCCTTTTTGCAGCCGCCTTGTCCCCTCCCCTCCTTCCCGCCCTCCTTCCCGCCCTCCCTCTCCTCCGCCCCACTTGGAGCGGGCACAAGCATCCGGAGGGAAGGATCGTGTCCCCCTCCCGTCTCCCTCTCCTTCCCCTCCTCCTCCTTCCCCTCCTCCTCCTCGTCCTTCCCCGCCCCTCGTCCCTCTCCGTCCCTCCCCCCGTCCCCCGACTCTCCCCCACCCAAACGCGTCCGCCGGAAACGGCTGCAACGGCTCGCCAAACGCCGTCGGGCCTCCGACCCCGCCCGGACAAAGCGCCGCCCCCGCCAGCAGTACCTTCCCCCCAACCCGAACGTGCACGGCTGGGACCAGCACCCGGACTATCTCCGTGGGAAATGGACCTTGCGCTCCTTGAGCTTCCG